GAAATATACTCTAATAAAATCAAAAAACAAAAATTAAAATACATATAATGTTCATGTAGAAATAAAATTTAAAATGTTTGAAGTTGGCTCAATAATACAAAATATAAATAATAGAGAGCATACAGCTACAACGATAGATGTTTAAACGAAAGTCATGTATATATTTAAAATTATTACATAAAAACGTTTATAATAATGAAACGTCTATCGTTGTGGCTGTATGCTCTCTATTATTAGCAGAGGTTTCCTGAGTGCTAGAACTATTTAAAGTTTGCTATTATGACCATGTACCATGTATGCTAGTCTTATCTAATTTTTCTGCATCCAGGGCACTTTCCCGCGGTGACGGCGGTAACGGATTGTATCAAAGACATTGAAGAAATATCTAAAATGTATTTGGTACACTCCATTAATCTGATTAAGTTCCTGGTCGCGATTCATGCTGTCATGTGACAGAAATTCAGATTTGCTTGTAATATCGGCGATGCTCCTGGAGTTCGACCTAGGGGAGAAAATGGACAAGCGACGAATGTACCAATCGGGGTAAACTAGTCTTTGGTACGGGGTCACTCCAAAGCAGCTACCGGTCGCGATGAGATCCACTGTGGAAAATATTTAAAAAACCAGTCGCGTAAACATTTGTTGGCTGGGGAAGTGCTAAATTTCTTGGAACAAAAGCCTAGTAGTTCCACAAGAGCCCTACTCAACACATTTAAATATAATATACAATATATGTCATACCTGTTGGTGCTATTATAAAAGAAAACGTACTGAAATGAGAGATGGAAACGTTACAGTTAAGAATACTGAATCGCAGCCTCTTTGTCAAATCAATTAAAACCTTTTGTTTCATACTTTGAGTATCTCTCTCTCCTCTTCATCGATTAATATATATTACTTACAACTATTCATTTGGGATCCAAAAAAAGTTTTAATTATTGTCAAAATTGGACATATTCTAGATACTAGATGATTCGAGAAAGCGAATAAAACCAATCCTACATGGTACACAATACATGATCGTAATAGCAAACTTTGAACAGCTGTAGCACTCGAGGGACTCATTTTACAAAGTTGTGCATAGGTAACTTTTTAATCCTTTTTTTATGCTCTACAATCCTAGCTAGGTCTCAATGCTGTTCAGCCGGAGCTCAAATTGGGCATAGTTTTTTCATGAAATTACATATTAATATTATAGATAATAATTAAACACTCATTTGTGAAATATTTATTGTTATTATCATCGTCTCGTTTATTATTTATAATTCTTCTTTTGATTAACATTAATCGATTTATCAATAATAATAGAAAACTAATCATTTTTTGTAGACATACATTGTATACAGGATGATATAAATCATAAAAACAAAAAAAAAACATAAATATTTATTGCATTGTAAACATTTTATGAATGAATTTTAGAATAAATTTTATTTTAGAATAAAAAATATGGTACTCATCAAAATTGATTCCTGAAAAAAGCTATTTCTATAATGTCAATCAAATCTGTTTTCCGCCAAATATTAGAAAAAGTTATTATGTCTATAATAAAAATTTATTCGTAAGATGTTCACAATGCAGTAAATATTTATATTTTTCTCGTTTTTATAATTTATATCATCCTGTACGTTTACAATGTACGTCTACAAAACGCGATTAATTTTCTATTCTTATTAATAAATTAATTAATGTTAATAAATAGAAGATTACAATCATATGACTTACTTGTTCCTAATCATAATTTCCCATTTCCCATTTTATCATAAACCGTAATAGTTTTTATTACAATCTTATTTATGCGTTCATGTAAATAACAACAATGATGACAATAACGATGATAATAATAAATATTCCATAAACGTGTGTTTAATTATCTATAATATTAATATATAATTTCATGAAATTTTATTACAATCAAAAAGTAAATTAAACTAATAACATTAAATAAAATTTATAAAAATACTAATATTTTCATTTGTACAGTACATTTTTCAAATTATTAGAATAATTATTTAAGAAATCGATTTCTTTGAAACTATAGACCAATAGCTGAAACGGCCGAACATGTATCGTTTTTTTTTCGCTGCCTGTAAAAAAAAACAGCCTGTAAAAAGCGCATAAAAATCCCCGACCCCGTCACTTGGTGTTCCCATTCAGTTTAATCCGCTCTATCTGTCTATGAAATATTTGGCGATTTTTTTGGGACATCCTGTATATGCTTCGCTGCTAGTGCTAAGTGATTTGAACTATTCCAGCTATCAAATTTGATACAGAAGTCCTTTCTTATTAGCATTTAAAAATATATTGATACACGGAAAAAATGTTATTAGGTTGTTCGGAAAGTAATTTCGTTTTTTCTTATGAAAATGAAAGACGATTTTCAATCAGACGCGTTTCAAATGATCATGAACGGTCGAATTCGATAAATTTAATCTCTCAGCGATCTAACGAGTTGTTATTCGCCGGTTTGCATCAATTAATGCCTTTATTGTGTCTTCATCAGCTTTAACTGGCCTTCCAGAACGTGGTGCATCTTCAACATCAAAATTGCCGGATCGAAATTTTGCAAACCAGTTTTGGCACTGGCGTTCTGTCAATACATCTTCTCCATACACATCGGATAATTTTTTTCTTGCTTGAACAGCATTTTTACCTTTTCGATAGTAAAAAAGTAAAATATGCCGAAAACGCTGCTTTTCACTTTCATATTTGATACACCAACCAAAAACTACTGCGTAGAATCAATCGAACTTTTTTCACAAGCAAGCCTTGCTATATCAGCTGTAAAAATATATAATGATTATGCGGCTTAAGTGTGAAGTTGGCTGTGAAAAAATACAATAATCTCTTCTTCTCTGTTGGGAAAAAACGAAATTACTTTCCGAACAACCTAATACTCGTATATTAACAGCATTTGCCAACAGCAATCTATTTAAAAGTCTTATTTATTCAATAACAGTAACATAAGTTAATGAAATAACATTTTTTTAAAACAAGAAAATTATGGTGTTTGTTAATACCGTAAATTAGTATAAATTAACAAGATTATTCTCAATGCTGTTAATTTAACATTAGTTTTCTTCTCTGTAGTATTGAAAATCTACAATTCACGTGTATATAATATTAGGTTAAGTAAAAAGTCATCGCGTTTTTTTAAAAGATATCTATCAGTAAAAACCGCAATTACTTTCTTACCAACAATATAAATATATCTTAATAGAGTAAAGTTTCAGCTTTAAAAATCTCTTTTTTAAATTATACGATACGACAATTTTTAATGGAGTTATGAGCAATTAAAGTCAAAATAATTCTTTTATTTAATCCGCGATAACTCAGTAATCAAAAGTCGTAGGAATATTAAAAAAAAACGATTTTGTAGGGAAAGTATCAAGCTTTCACGATAGGTAATCGAAAATTTTCTCAAATTCGTTTTGGACACGTTACAAATCCACAAAGTGAGAAGAAAATTTTTCGTCTTTTTCAGCTCGTAGTTTTTGGTATGTAAAAATTATCAAACTCATATAAACTTAAAAAATGTGATAAGCTTTTAAAAGTAGAGATTTCAAGCTTTAAAACCCTTTTTTTAAATTTGAATTTCATTCATTATTGACGAAGATATTGTATATACAACTTTGAGCTAAAAAATACGCGATGACTTTTTACTTAACCTACGACTATAACATTTCAATATATTTCTAAACATTGCTAATAATTATTATTACCAGATTTCATTAAAAGATAAAGCATGCAGAGGTGGGCAAAGTACTCAAACAATTGTATTTAAATACAAAATAAATACTAAAAAAATTGTATTTAAATATAAAATACTAAAAAAGTTGTATTTAAATATTATACAAAATGCGAAAATGTATTTAAATATGTATTTTAAATACATGTATTTCAAATACTGCCCACTCCTGAAGTGTGCTTATTTAATAAGATAAAAAACAAGAGAGATTTTATTAATACATATAAGCAGTCCAATTCAATCTCCATTCATTCTTTATCTTATTAAATCAAACATATTTCAGATCTGAATAAAAAATAAAAAAATTATAACAAAACATATTATCAATTCATTTTATATATTGTAAGAAAAATATAACATACATAAAAAGGCTTATATTATATATATACATATTATATATATATTAGCTTATATTAAAGGATCCATAATACACACAAAATAAACTTTTGACGCATTAAATCAAAGTAAACCAAGTTGCACGTAATGTACTTGTTAATAGTAATTTCGTATTACAATTAATAATATACTTGTAATATAACACATGTGTTATATTATAATTGATCGTATTAGAGAATAAATCGGGAAATCGGGAATAGACTACGGTAGATGCAATGAGCACGCCACACAATGTCACCAAAACGATATTATGCACAGGCAGCGCAGGCAACCGGCAGCATCCTAGAAACAATTGCGAATGGAATGCTCAGTTACGCAGTTAAGATAATGAGGAATAGCTGCCACTTAGCTACTCGTGTTAAGTACGTTTTTAATTTTAACTAATAAAGTTGGATGTTAGCAGCAAATGTATTTTATCTTCAATAGCCAATTTTTAGCAATAATAGCGAAGTTTAAACTAGCAACTGGTACTTAGCTGATATTACTAAGTCCTTTTTTTGCGTGTGATATTACTATTATGTTATATAATATTACAAAAATTTGTATATTTACATAAAAATTATAAAATACAATAAATATACTATTGTTGTTGTAATTTTGTATTACTGTAATTTTCTAATATAAATAAGATAATTCGAGGGAAGATGCCACAAGAGAAAAGATGCCACTTTATTTATAATTTTCTTATAGAACGTGCGTTGGCCATACTGACTGTGCAAAAGCGTGTGGTAAACAATTGCGCCATTATCAGCAGAGATGAATATGTTCGTGCCAATGTCGATTGGAAAAGATTATACAAAATACAAAAAGGTAGGTCGTGAAACATGCTCTTTACAATATTTGGTATGCTAATACAATAAATAAGATCTATACTTAGATGCTTACTGTAAAACCGAAATGATATATGGTTTTAATTAGTGTTTTCTGGTGATCATGTGAATGATATAAATTATAATTTGTAATATTCTATTGTAATATTAATTGTAATATTATATGCATAAAAGTTGTAATTAAATATTACTCTTACACACACTTAGGGATAAGATGACAGTAAATACAAAACAATTTTTTCTGGTTAAAATCGTCATTAAAACGAATTTTATGAATTAAAACTTTAAATACTTGGTATAATTTGAAATATTTAGGGTAATGAAATGCTATTTAAACGGATAAAAGTATGTCCAACTTACTCCCAAAATTACTCTCTTTCATATTTCCTCAATTTATGTTTTATCATACCGTTATGTGTTTTTATAGTTTAAATTCCTGATTATGAACTGCAAGTAAGTAAAATATGTAAGTTTACATTGCATTATATTATTTAATTGTTTGTGACATCTTCTCTCATAGGAGATGGCATTTTATCCATACATATAAGAGAAAAATGCCATTTTTACAAGATATGACATATCAGTTTTTTCCACAATAATACGGAATATTAAACGTTATATTCGTAAATTTTTTTGTAAATAAAAAAGATCTCTAGAATATAATTAATATTATTTTGTAAGTTAATTCAATAGCATTAAGAAGTTATTCAAAAATAAGTGGCGTCTTAATAAGGCTTAAGTGTGGCGTCTTTCCCCCAATCACATTATATAATTACACACAGTTGGAGAAAAAAGATAATTTTTTTAAAAACGCACAATTATAAATCGTATAACTTATTGAAGATCAACCAATTCCTCCCCCCCCCTCACCTAAAATTTTCTTCTTTCCTCCCACCACTCCAAAAAATAATATAAAAAAGAACGGCTCGAAGGAACAGCTCAGTATCAGGCTGCTTCTCTCCCTGATGAAGTGGACTGCAAGGTTTACGAAATGTTGGCATTCCAAGAATGGATCTGGACATGGAGAAAACCCGCGAAACGCATAACTTTTAAATCGTATAACTTTTACATATACCTACCTGTTTATGTAACTATACTCGTATATATTTTCTAAAAGTGTATTCGATGAAGACGCAATACTCAACGCAAGATGCATATTGTCATCAATATAAATAGAAATTGTAGGAGCTTTATATTTGGACTTGATTTACCTGGACGCGATTTACATGTACTATATCGACGATGATTCATCTGATGCTACAAATATTTTGAAGAATTTTTTGATTGATCAATTAGTAAAATTTTTTCTTCTGATTGGTCAATCAAAAGCTTCCAAAGTATTTGTAGCGTCAAGTGGACCGCATCTATTAGGAGGATCAGACTGTTCTCCGTGGTATAATCGTAATGATTGATTGATTGTATGCAGACTCTACTGTTATTTGACAACACATATCATACAGCTATTCGGCGCAGAGCGATATGTAGCATGGGAAAATAGAAACTGCTGCATTATAACGGACCGTAAAGCGCGCGTCAGCAATAATCAAACGTCAAATATAATGTTTGTCTTCCGATATTGCTCATTAGGATGAGAGCAAGCTGCAAGCTAAAGAGCACACGGTCCAATTTCATATCGGCTTATTTTGCATGATACTTATACAAAGTAATGAAATACCTAAAGCTTTGTCTTTCTCGTATACGTTATTTTGGTTTTTTTTTTAATTAATTTATTAGCCTTATACTGCATAAACAATTTGAACAAAGCTTTCCAATTAACTGTTACATGAAATTTTTTTTTATATATATATGTTGAATTAAATTTAATATTTTATATTTGAATCACCCAAGTATAGAACCCAAAGTTCTTTCATTTATTTTCTTAAATAATCCATTTATTTAATATTATATTGTCATATTTTAATGTGTACTTATACAGTTTTTCAATATACATATATATGGTCTTGCCAATATTGCAAATTTTGTTTGTAAACAAAATCATCAGTTTGAAACAAAAAGACTTAGTTAACGCGTATTACTGAATAATCTGAAACTTGCTTTATTATTTCAAATAAAAAGTACGCATTGAAAATTTGCATCAGGTGATTATTAATACAAATTTCGGATGCGATTGTCAACTTTATTTGTTTTAATATATTATTACGGGATAAAACGTAGCAATTAAGTGAGTGCAATGATATGACCGTATAATAATTATGAATTGTAGTCACTTTATGCAGCTTGTTCGTGTATAACATAATTAGGATATAACCGCAAAAAGCAGGCAAAAACGGTACATTCATTGATTAATGATGATTGTTCGATCGCGTTATATTTATTTACAGATCATCAAGAAGACAATACGTCATCATGTTGTGATTTAATGGTACGTCTGTAGTATATAACGCTATGTCCCTCTTCAAATATGTTATTTCATTCGGCGATATCACTCATCATTAATATTCATGCAATCCTAAACTATGTTCGATAAATGACAATGTTATAACATAATGAATCTTAATTCAATTTTATGAATTTACGTGCAGTCAATTCTTTTTATTGAAGTCTAGACACATGAATTAACGATAATAACAAGATTTCTATTCTGTGAACTGTCTACATATACTCGTATTTTAGTTTTCTTACATTCAGCTATTTTTATATATAATATGTCTTACAATTTATTGTATTATAATCCGTTTATTGTCAATTTGCAATATAATAGGTTTTTTTACATATGGTATTATTTATAATGCTGATTGTTTAGTTCAGACTAGAAGTCCTGTATCGGAGTTTGACATGAGCGATTTTTTTCAAAATCCTTATGAAAGATATGTATACACTTTCATATACATATTATATCCCATTTTAACTTATACTGTTTTATTTTTAACTTTAATTAAATTTATAGAATAAGATTGTATAAATAAAAGAGACATAATACAAGAAGAAATTATATTTATTTTTATCTTTTGACAGCTCGCGATCAGACTCTGTTATAGGATTTTTAGTTTGGATCAAAAACCCTCTAATCACAGAATCGTGGAATAACATCAAAGTTAGATCGGCGATGACATTTTTCAGCGAAAATTTATGACTGTGGTAGTGTATGCAGTCTTATTATATATTTAGAATGATACGACTGTGATAGTGTACCCAGTCATATGTATGTATCGTATTATACAATATTTATTATTAAGCTTACTGAAAAGTGGCGGCGCATCAATCGAAATTAACATTATTCCGTAATCCTGATTAGAGGATCTATGTGTACATTAATAATAAGTCAAGACGTTTACATTATTTTTATACGAGAATAAATTTATGTACGGAAAGGACAATGTTTTGCTAAAGTGTTTAAAAATTTAGCCACAAGGTCTGTTTTTTATTCTTACACTAGACTGCATTAGAATTCTCTTTCTCACTTTCGTCAAATATTAAATATACACATATACATATACTTTAAGTTTCAAAAGTGCACACTAGTTTAGCCACAAAAAAACAAATCCATAAATAAATTTGAAAATAATTGTGTTGCACCATCAAAATAATTATGTAGGACGTTAAAATTGGTTGATAGAATGTCAAAACTTTTTGCAATATTGATCATCATGTTTGAAATTCCTACGTATACCTATAATTATTTTGATGGTCCAACAAAATTATTTTTAGATCTGTAAAAATTTCCTGTGTAAATTTCCTAACTAAATCTGAAAACACTTTAATAAAATTGTTTTTCCTGTGTATACACACGACCATCTATTGGATTTCATAGATATGTTATCCTTTTGATTTAATAACAGTAAGTTAAACAAAATCGTTATGAGTAAAAAAGTGCTAAATACAGTCAAGTATATGTAGGGTAGGATGGGGTATTATGAGCACGTTAAGAAAAAATTTTGGTATATCTAGCATACTGAAGAATAAAAAAATCTTATGTATACCATTTGATAGATCTGTTGATGTTTTATGTATTTTATTGTTGAAATTGATTATTTTAATGCAGATAATGGCGGGTGCTCTTATTGTCCATCCAATGCTCATATTACTCTCTGGGTAAGATAATATGAGCGTCCTTAGGGATAATATAAACACAGGAAATTTTTTGTAAGAAATTATGAAGAAATAAAAGATTGATATATACATATATATGAAACATTTTATTAGAACAAATGTCAATCAAATATTTGATTAATGTAACAAAAATAATGTCGCTTTTACAAATATTTATAGTAAGTTATATTATCAAATAGTAACAATTTGATAATACTTATTACATATTTGTAGAAGTAATTATTTTTATTATTTATTTCGTTACTTATTTCACCATACACTTAGTAGCTATTACCAAACTCCGAGGGATCAATCACTACTTAAACAGACGTATAGTGATTGCTAATTATCGCAATACATCACATTTTATTGTTAGCATTGCTATTGTATTATTATTAATATTATTTTCCTATGTATTGCGCACAATATTGCCAAGTATTGTTAATGTTTTGCTATGTACCGCTATTTATTGCTAGCATATTATTAGCGTATTGCAAGTACTGCTACTGCTAACATTGCTTGTTTTATTATTGTACTGCCGCAATATATTTTCAAAGAAATGTACACTGATTGCCATAATAATTGATCCCTCTCCAGACTCTTTTTTCAGTGTAATGTAAGGAATAACATGTTCATAATAAATGATTATGCATACTTATTCGAAAAACTTCCGTGTCTAGTAAATCAATAATGATCTCAGGATTTTGTGAAAATAGAATGGCTCTATATTGTTTACAAATATTAACACTCAGAACAAAATATCTTATCGTAGATTGGGGATCTTATGAAGATAGGGGAAAAAGCGTAAGAAATAGCGTACTTGCTCATTTGATATGATAAAAATATTCAAAGTACATAAATTTCAATTACATACATTTAAACTTCGCAGCATATTGGAATCTGTCTTCGCGAAGACAGACGTCTCTTTTTACAACAGTTGGCACTAGTATCAATCGTAGCAGAAATATAAAAGGTACTCATATATTTATTTCATTTCAATTGCTATTTCAAGTAATAACTTTCAATTCTGCTCGTAATATCCTGCATCCGATCCTATATTTCTATGTAAATTTCCAAGATTAATTCAGTTTGAAGACCTTTAAGAACATTTAAAACTCAACATAAAAATATTGTTAGGCATTAAGATTGTACCCGCTGGGTTATTATAAGCTGTCTTTACCGGTAGCTAGTGTTTAGTTCTCGCACTCTAAATTTTTGGGAGTGAAATTTTATTTCCAAAGAGTGATAGTTGCGCCAGTCCAACAGAAATGAAATTTTCATTCTTAGAGAGTAAAGAATCACTCCAAATGGGAGTCAATTTTTAATCTATGTGGAGAGTAAATAATTTCACTCTCCGAAGAGACTGAAATTTCACTCTGATAAATGTTAAGTTTAGCCTCCCTATATCTAATCTAAAAATTATTAGATTTTTTTAACGTGTTTTTGCACAAAATGAATGAATATACATAGCAGAAAAAAGCATCGCTCTGTCCTGCGAAGCAAAATATTAATCATTAAAGTTGACTTTTTAGGTTAGGTTGAGAAATTAATTCCTGAAGGAGTGAAGTAAAGTTCACTCCTTATCAGACTGATGCAACTATCACTTTTTTTGGAGTGAAATTTCACTCCTAAAAATTTAGAGTGTGCGCTCTTCCGTGAGCGCTGCCTCCGAGTGATAGCAATCGCGCTTGAGCGATGCGATGGATTGTGGTCCCTTTGCGCAATCAACAGAAACGTATGTACGTGCGACTCTGCTTATGCAGCTAACCGTTTTTGTAAGATCAGATTAAATTTGTACGAAAACGATATATTTCTCGTAGTCAAAGATATGTACTTCAATCCCTAAACCTATCGTGAAAGAGATACATCTCAAGGAAGCCACAAGGCAAATGCAAGTAAAATAGCGTATATATACGCAAAAAGGAACAATTTCTTTACTACGAAGATCTAATTCCGATTATATTAGTAATTCTCTGATTTATTACTGCTGATTTGATTTATTCATATAGTGATCTAGTTTAACTTATTATATTGTTAATTTACGTGCCATCATTTAGACTTTGAGATTAAAAGTAAACATATGGCATTAATTAATATTTTTTACAAAAACAGAAAAATGATTGGTATTTATAATTGATTCTTATATTTAAGATCGTCTTAAGATATCATAAGTACAGTCTTAAGATATCATAAGTAATGGTCGTATTAGCATCTTAAAATATTACTTAAGATAATCTTAAAATAAAAACGAACTATAAATATCCCAATGACAGTCAAACAAATATTTCTACTTATTTTATATGTACAATTTAGATACATTAAACGATAACAATATCATGAACGAATCGTTTTTGCGAGAAAAACTTTGTTTTCAATTTTTTATAACAACAAAATTCCGTCGCACAATCCTCGCAAAGTGTTAACGCCGTGAGCAATAAATACGAGGGTTGAAAGCGGAAAAGCAACGACTCGAATCGAGTTGGATGGATATAAAAAGAAATTACTAGCCTCTCAGACGCACTTGGACCTCCAAACGGCACTGGCACTCATGCTCCCTTTCTCTCTTCCTTAGTTTCCATCTTGCTTTCTTTCTTGCGCGATATCCACTCGCCATTTCTGTTACCTATTCTCTCTTTTATACCGGGTTTATCTTCTATACTTCTTCCTTCTTTTCCCGAGACTACACCGGCTATTTCTCGATTCCGCCGCTCCACACTCGTAACCTGAATTATAGATGTCCTTCACAGTCTGTCGCAACTTACTATACTGCCTTCGTTTCCAGTTCAGCAAAGATAGCATGCTTGAGCCATTATTTGCATATATGATATGCGAATGGAATGAATACTATCACAAATTTGATTCTTTGCTACAATTTGACATATTTACCTATATATTCATATAAATATAATTTTTATTGAGAGTGGTGTTAAGTTATAAATAAGTATAATATATCCTACACAGAAAAAATTTCGCTGATATATTTAAAACTTTTTTAGCTAAGTACAAATCTAAAAATAACTTTGTTGGACCATCAAAATATACCGTTGGAAAATTCAATACAAATTTAGCACATTTCATATGTCCCAAACGATCTATCCACATTTTTGTGTTAATTTAACACAAAAAACAACCTTTACAAGATGAATATATTAGAAAGTAACACAAATATTATATTTAAAAAATTAACACAAAAATGTTACACTGATACAAGCTTACTTTGTAAGCAAGCTGTGGAAGCATATTTTTTCAGTAAAATAACATTTATATTTCATCTTATGATTCCTGCACATAGAACGCGGCAACGTTTGCGCGGAAGTTAACGCAGTAGCCAATCATTTTTTCGCTTTTATGAAAAAGCAATAAATTGATTGGCTATCGCGTTAATTTCCGTTACACGGTAAGCGTTGCCACGTTCTATGTGCAAGAGCTATAAGAATTTATGTTTTAAAATACATTATTTTTACATTATTTGTTTATACACGATTTGTTGTGAAAGGACATATAAGAGTTAAATTTAATAGCTTTATAACATAAAAATTAAATACATAATAATCTCTATAAATTACAATATTAGTTTCTAATCTAGAATAAATAAATGTTGTGTTTACACAAGAGCGTTCCTATCTCGAATGTGTTAACATTTTTGTGAATTTTTATATGACTTTTGTACATCTGAAGAAGGCCTAATACAAAGGCCGAAATATATTTAATGTCTTAATATTTATTTATTTTAGATTAAGAACTAATATTTTAATTTATAGAGATTATCATGTATTTAATTTTAACGTTATAAAGTTATTAAATCTAATTCTTACATGCCCTTTCACAATAAACATTATCGTGATTAACTAACAAGAATTCTTTGTATTTTTCGATTTTTATTGTTTGTTACTTAGTCATAAATTGTGTTATTTTTACACTAAGAAAGATTGAATCAATTTTATACAAAATATTTAAATAATATAGTCATATTATATTAAATTAACATTCAAACATGTGAAAAATTTGACACAAAATTTTAAGAAGGATGAGTGAACGTTTCTAATACAAATACAAAATGTTTTCTACTGTGTAATTTTGTAGAACGTTCAAGTTAATGATTAAAATGTCATAACTTTTTGAAGGATGCTCATTATGTTTGAATTGCTCATTGTGTCATACTTTGATAATTTAATAAAATTATTTTTAAATCTAATTAAAATTTTAGATGCTGTAAAATTGTTCCTCATCAATATATATATATATATATCGTTTGAATATTTCATCTTATTCATTTTGCAATATCATTCAGAGCAATTATGGAAACATTCTTGAAACAAAAGACTAGAATTACCTATGAAATAACATAGTCGAAAACAGCGGTGTAATAATAGATATTATAAAATTATCAAGAGATATTATAAATGCATTAGAAAACATTTCAATTTTACACGTATACATATAATAATGTAATAATGTAATAATATACACGTTGATAGCTAAGTTGGGATGTAACGCGTTACTTATCATCCGTTACAATTACTTTTTTTTTTAGATAGGAACGGTACAAACATAATATCGTTACTTTGTACATACTATACATGTTTATGGAACGTGCATTAAACGATGAGTTTCAAAAAAAAAGTGTTATGTTTGACTATGTTGCGATTATCCACAACCATCATAATGATTATGGTAGATTTTATGTTGAATTGGTCAATTAGTGACTAAGACAATTGGATACTATTCTAAAAAGAGATCAAAATTCAATAAAAAAGTAATAACAATATAGCACTGTTTGGGTATAATGATAATGATAACAAATCAGTAACGAACAATGATAACGAGTTACTTTTATAAAATAACTTTTTCAACCCTGGTTAATAGTAATAGCAGAATAAATAATGAACAAATCGTATCTATAAAATATGTTATATGTATATATAGAGAGAACAGCATTACGTAAGTATATATAGTAATAAGTCAGTAAATCTTGCAGAAGTTAGTGCAATATAATAACAAATTGTTAAAAAGGCGTTTAAAGACTCACGAGTATTTACTAAAGATAAAGCAGTTTATCTAAACTTCCGTTTGCTGTTGAGCAAAGCAAGATAAAATTCAGCAACAACAGTAGCAGGAATCTTTATGTGACTCCATTCACAATAATCCTGGTATACACTGGAGAATTGATTTAAATTAAACAGTAGGAGAAACGCAGAGTACGTGCATATCCGTTGCAATTAATCAAATTATTAAGCCTGGCCGGATTGCAACTGGCACGCGTTGTTGTTTCACGAATATTCGAGTCTAACGATAACGATATAAACACATAATAGGTCCTCCCATGGTGCATACATGCGAGCGCGTGTCCAAATTATTTCTCAGGATGCAAATTGATTCGCTAATATCTCTGCGCCGCTAGCATTGTATAATTATCCTTAGTAAATTATATAATATACTTTATTGTCGTTGACAAAATTATAATATTGTTGCACTGAATGTGGCAGAATAAATGTTGAATTTACTCTCCAAATTTCTTGGAGTAAAATCTCATTTTAATAGAGTGAAAATACGGCCATTTTTAGAAAACAGTGAAAATATTTCACTTCTTGGAAAAGGGTGACAATTTTCATTCTTTTTCAAGGAGTGATATATTTTCACTATTCTCTAAAAATGACCGTATTTTCACTCTCTTAGAGTGAGATTTCATGCCAAGAAAGAAGGATATTAAAAAAAGGCCGATTTTTATCCGCAAAGGTGTAAGTAAAAGGAATAGCGTTTTTTATAGATTTCGACCTCTTACGATAATATTATTAAAGAGTTCGTGGGGGAACATCTTGAAAAGTAAACAAGAATATTGAAATTTGTTTAAATATATCATGTTTATACTCAATTTTCAAAGTATTCCCTATCGATCCCGAACTTTTTATTAACGTTATCGTATTTAGGTTAAAATCTAAAAAAAAAAAACATTATTCCTTTTACTTACACCTTTGTGGGCAAAAATTGACCTCTTTTTAACATCCTTTTTTAGAGAGAACATTGATAGTAAAATGGTGCTGGGACAAACGGAGCGCACTAGAGATGACCGAAGGCATCTTAACAACATTATTAACTTTAACATTATGTCAACGAGAGTGCAGATAAACTGCAACATCTTCAATCAAGTATTATGCCGCGCACGAAGATGGGGCAGTAAACTTTATAAATTCAGCACGCAACTCTCTCGCGGCGCGTTGTCTGTTTTGCGCGTGCCGAAGTTGTATATCACGTTGAATATTTCGGGCAAATTGATATTTATAGTGCCCACGTGCGTTAGTTCCGAATTGAATTTGCGCATAAATGCTGAAAATTTCTCGGTTCCGCCTGTTTCCAATTTCGCGTAAGCGCAGCTGTATGTACAACGCATTCGCATACGTTATTTTATTCTGCCGAGCCTAAACATACTTCGCATTCATACATATTGGAAAATTATGCTGTATCGGAATGCATACAATGTATGTATTGGCAGAAGAATTATTTTAATTAGAATGATGCGTCAATAACAATAATATATCAGTAATTATATTCATCGATATTGCATTACTGATAGAAGTAAACAAGGAAACGAGTAATAGATTTTGAAGTGTTTACGTAATCCACAAAGAAAGAATGGTTTTGTCCAAGTATCTAAATATTTAGCTAGATACAAATTATAAAACAACTTTATTGGACTATCAAAATAATCAATTAATATAAAAATGCTCAAATTCTTTGCTATACTGTTAAAGTCGAATTAATCCCAATTTGA